GGTTTGTTGTCCGATGTTGTTGTGAAGACGGTGCCACTGGCGGAGCTGTACAGTGCCATTGGCTACTACGATTTCCGCTACGGGCACAAGATCAAACAGACTTTCGATTGGACTTGTCCCGATTGCAACACCCAAAACGAGCACGCCAAGGCATGCGCATGCGCATACACGGACACACACACACACACACAAAACTATGCATTCTGAGTTGACAAGCATTGATGCAACGAGCAAACCACAGTAACTGAGCAGCAGCAACAACAACCGCGAACAAAGCATTGGGTTGGGATAAGGTTTCTGCCCCGTCTACCCCAGATGCGAACGGATGGCGCAGCATGAAAAGATCTTGAAGATAATGCTACCCAATGCTATGCCGTACGGATGAACAACAGAAGGTATACGTTTGTCTAAAATAGGTTGGCACTTGCCTCTTGTGAGTCGAGCTGATTTGCTGCTATTGTTGGATGGTTGGGGAGGGGAAGAGGGTTGGTTGTTCAGTGAAGATGAGTTAAGATGGTGTTGCTGTGTAGTAGTGTAACACGTAGGCCGTTCCCTATCGACTGTTTAGAATCCTTACGGGAACAGTTGTAACGATCTTTTCGGGACGCGTATGAGAATCTTTATGAGACCCTCATTCTGACCGAGGTTCTGAAATGATCCCATGCAGGCCGATACGGTGGCTGCCAGCGTGGCAGCTGCTGCATCTGCGAGGCAAGCGCTCTCTCCTTGGCCGCCTGTAGTAATGGCTGCTTCAGCAGGTGTAGTAAGTAGCAGTAGCAGTAGCCGCAGTATCGGTAGCAAAAGCAGTAGCACTGGCACTGGCACTGGCAGCAGGAATAGGAGTAGGAGTAGGAGTACGAGTACGAGTAGGAATAGGAGTAGTGGGAGTAGTTGTATCAGGAGGAGGAGCAGTAGTAGTAGTAGTAGTAGTAGTAGTAGTAGTAGTAGTAGTAGTAGTAGTAGTTAGTAGTAGTTAGTAGTAGTAGTAGTAGTAGTAGTAGTAGTAGTAGTAGTAGTAGTAGTAGTAGTAGTAGTAGTAGTAGTAGTAGTAGTAGTAGTAGTAGTAGTAGTAGTAAAGTAGTAGTAGTAGTAGTAGTAGTAGTAGTAGTAGTAGTAGTAGTAGTAGTTAGTAGTAGTAGTAGTAGTAGTAGTAGTAGTAGTAGTAGGGGTAGAGCAGTAGCAGCAAGCCCAGGAGAGCAGTAGAGCAGTAGAGCAGTAGAGCAGTAGAGCAGTAGAGCAGTAGAGCAGCTAGAGCAGTAGAGCAGTAGAGCTAGTAGAGTCAGATAGAGCAGTAGAGCAGTAGGGAGCAGTAGAGCAGTAGAGCCCAGTAGAGTGCCAGTAGAGGCAGTGGCAGTAGAGCAGTAGAGCAGTAGAGCAGTAGAGCGTAGAGCAGGGTAGCAGGGAGCAGTTGGAGCAGTGGTTAGGTGACAGGAGTGAGAGATCCTTGGGCGCCGCCATGGCGACCAGGATATGACCGACCACGCCGCCGATGACGAGGAACACGACCGCCGCGAACAGATAGGGGCCGACCTGCTCCATGGATGGGCCCTCGCTCAGGGCCGGCGGCATGACCATGGCGAAATACGCCCCATAGGCCAGGGCGATGATGACCGTCATGACCAGATTGCTTTTTTCTTGGAACGACATGTCAAGCTCCTTTGATCTCATGTCGAATTTCTTTGACATTCCGAGGTGTAAAAGGGAGCAGACCCTATGTCAAACATTTTCGACCTCATGGCCGATTTATTTGACAGAACGCCTGCGCGCCTCTGGCCAAGTGTCTGATTTTACTCTTCGAGCAGGCGCACAGCTTCGGTCTGTGCAGCGGCCGGATCGGTTTGAAGAAGCCCCAGAAGCGAGGTCGCCAATCCCAAGACCGCCTGCCCGACGGCGTCGCTTTCGGCGGTCTCGATCGCCCGGTTGAGCATCAGGGTCGCCTCCTCGCCATGGACCGCCGGATCAGCGGCGACCAGCGCGACGGCGAAGCGATAGGGGATGGCGGCGGGAGCGTCGCCCATCTCCACGGCCTGTCGCATCAGGGATAGGCCTTCGGCTTCATTGGCGTCAAACATGCCCTCTCCGGCGCGGCGCACCACCTCGAGATGCCAGGCGCCCAGCATGGCGGGGCCCCAGGGTTCTGACGGATCCAGCCGGATCGCCTCGATCATGTGATCGCGGCCCTGCTGGGGCAGGCCCATCATGACGGCCCGAAGCTTGTTCACATAGCGTGACTGATACCCCAGTCCTGCGGCGAGCCGCAGATGCGCCTCGGCATTGTCGGGCTCCAGAGCGAGCGCCGCTTCAGCGTACTCCTGCGCGCGCAGCGCCGCCTCGCGGCGATCCCGGCGCGACATCCCCTCGGCCTGATCCAGAGTGATCGGCATCAGGGCCGCTTCAGAAGCCAGGATCAGCGCGTCCACATCCGAGGTCGCGCTGGAGGCCGCGCTTTCAGCCGCCCCCCATTGCCCGGTCTCGAACGCCTCCATCGCCGGCGCAGGCGCCTGGGCGTGCGTCATCGGAAGAAGCGTGAGCGAGAGCGCCAGCACGCTGGCGCCAAACATCATTCGGGTCATGGTCAACAGTCCTTCAGGGGCAAGGCCTGTAAGACTAGGCCGTCAGCACCCGTCCCGCCACCGCGTCGAGCTTTTTCACGAGACCCGGGTCGCGCTTTTCAGGCGCCGTGATGATGGCGAACTCCAGCGCCTTCTCGATGCCTTGCGGGCTGTCGGTGCGCGGCTTGGCGGCCATCGCCTTCACGAGGTTGCGCACCAGGGCATGGGCGTGGGCGGTATTGGCGTGCATGGTCTTGAGTATGTCGGAAATGTCGACATCGGCGTCCTCGGTGCGCCAGCAATCATAATCGGTGACCATGGAGACGCTGGCATAGGGCAGCTCGGCTTCACGGGCGAGCTTGGCTTCAGGCATGTTTGTCATGCCGATGACGCTGCAGCCCCATTGGCGATAGAGCTGGCTTTCAGCCCGGGTGGAGAATTGCGGGCCTTCCATGACGAGATAGGTCCCGCCGCGCTGCACGGTCTCAACGCCCGCGGCTTCCGCTGCGTCCGCCGCCATGGCCGACAGGCGCGAGCAGACAGGATCGGCCATCGCCACATGGGCGACGCAGCCTTCGGAGAAGAAGCTTTTCTTGCGCGCAAAGCTGCGATCGATGAACTGGTCCACCACCACGAACGCGCCCGGCGCCAGCTCTTCCTTGAGCGAGCCGACCGCGGACAGGGACAGGACATCGGTCACGCCCGCACGCTTGAGCGCGTCGATATTGGCGCGATAATTGATGTCGCTCGGCGGAATGCGATGGCCTTCATCATGACGGGCCAGGAACACGAGCTCCACGCCTTCAAGACGGGCATGGACGAGGTCGCTGGAGGGTTTGCCCCACGGGGTCTCCACCGTCTCCTTGCGCACGTCCTCGAGGCCGTCCAGTCCGTAAAGGCCCGATCCGCCGATGATCCCGAGTTTCCAGCTCATTCTTCGGTTCTCCAGTATGAATCGGGCACGCCGGGCGCCCAGCGATGGATTTCCGCCCAGCTCTCCGCCGACCGCAGGACGGTGGAGATGAAGGGCCGCTTGATCGCCTGATACGCCTCACGGTCGCTGCGTGTCTTGTCCGCCAGCGCCATCTTGAAGTCGCCATAGTCGCGGCGCGCGCTGTCGTCATCGCGCAGGAAGTCCCGCATCAAGAGCGTGTTGCGCGCCCCCGCGGCGCCATTGCGGCGCACATGGATGTGCAGGCGCCGCTCCCCCTTGCCTTCGCGGAAGTAGAGCTTGCGCCAGTCATCCGGGCCCAGAACAGGCGGGGTGTCGGGATGCGGTTCGTCGCCGGTATTCTCGGCGCGATGGACGAAGCCGGCGGCCTTCATCGCGGAGATCAGTCCGGGGTCATCCAGATCAACCACCAGCGCCTGGATATCGATGACATCCTTGGCGGCAAGGCCGGGCACGGCGGTCGAGCCCACATGATCGACGCGCAAGGCCGGTGATCCCAGCGCGCGGCAGATCGCATCCGCCCAGGCGAGGCCCTCTTCCGCCCAGGCGGGGTCGGGCGTGGAGACATGAATGGGGTCGCGACTCATGCTCGGTCCTTTACCACCCGCAGCCTTCATAAGAAACGGGCCGCCCGAACATTCGGACGGCCCGTGGATCGTCATGGCTGAAAGGGAAGCCTAGTGCTTCACATTCGACCACACCTGACGGTAGGCGGCGTAGAGAAGGCCCGCCAGGACCAGCAGGTAGATCATGACCATCAGGCCCATCTTCTTGCGCACTTCCATGTGCGGCTCGGACGCCCAGGCCAGGAAGGCGGCGACGTCGGTCGCCATCTGTTCCTTGGTGGCCTCGGTGCCGTCGGCATACTCGACCAGACCGTCCTGCAGCTGCGGCGGCATGGCGATCACGCCACCGGTCATGTAAGGGTTGTAGTACTGGCCCGGGCCGATGCGCACATCTTCAGGCACTTCGTAGTCATAACCCAGCATCAGCGAACGGATGTATTCCGGACCGCCATGGCGGGCTTTCACGATCACCGAGAAATCCGGCGGAATCGCGCCGCCGTTAGCCGCAGCCGCCTGTTGCGGGTTGGCGAACGGGTTCGGGAAGCGGTCAGCCGGGCGACCGGGACGCTCGAACATGTCGCCATACTCGTCCGGACCGTCCTCGACGATGTACTCGGCGGCGATGGCGCGCACGATCGGGTTGTCGTTCGGGTTCGGATATTCCTCCGAATAGAACGGGCCGCCCTCCTCGCCCAGATTGCGGATGTGCAGCTGGTTCATGGAGTGACAGGCCGAACAGACCTGTTGGTACACCAGGAAGCCGCGTTGCAGCTGGGCGCGGTCGAAAGTGCCGAACGGACCTTCAAAGCTGAAGTCATACTCAGCCGGATGATGGCCGGCCTCGGCCGCAAGCGCGGCCGGGCTTGCGAGCGCCAGAGCGCCCGCAGCGGCGGCCAGGAGGCGTTGGATCATTTTCATCTATCGCTCTCCTTATTCAGCAGGCGCGGCGGAAGCCGACGCGTCTGATTTGCCTTTGCCCAGGACCGATTCCTCGATGGAGGCCGGGCGCGCGCTCGGTTTCTCGATGAAGCCCAGAAGCGGCAGGATCACCAGGAAGTAGGCGAAGTAGTACAGGGTCAGGATACGTCCGAGCCAGAGGAAGTTCAGGCCGATCGAACCCAGCACCGGCACCTTGTTGTCCGGCAGTTCTGCGCCGCACCAGCCCAGACCCAGGCAGGCGATCACGAAGAACACGAAGAACCAGCGGGCCAGCGGACGGTAGCGCATGGAGCGCACCTTGGAGGTGTCCAGCCAGGGCAGGACGAACAGCACCGCGATGGCGCCGAACATCATCAGCACGCCGCCCAGCTTGTCGGGCACGGCCCGCAGGATGGCGTAGAAGGGCAGCAGATACCATTCGGGAACGATGTGCGCCGGGGTCACCAGGGCATTCGCCTCGATATAGTTGTCCGCATGGCCCAGAGCGTCCGGCCAGTAGAAGACGAAGAAGGCGAAGATGATCATATAGACGATGATCGCGAAGCCGTCCTTCACCGTGTAGTACGGGTGGAAGGGCAGCGTGTCCGCCTTGGTCTTGATGCTCAGGCCCGTCGGATTGTTATTGCCCGGAACGTGCAGCGCCCACACGTGCAGACCCACGATCCCGGCGATCAGGAACGGGATCAGATAGTGCAGCGAGAAGAAGCGGTTCAGGGTGGCGTTGCCCACGGAGAACCCGCCCCACAGCCATTCGGTGATCGGCGTGCCGATCAGCGGCAGCGCGCCGAACAGGTTGGTGATCACCATCGCGCCCCAATAGGACATCTGGCCCCAGGGCAGCACATAGCCCAGGAAGGCGGCGGCCATCATCAGAAGATAGATGACGACGCCCAGGATCCACAGAAGCTCGCGCGGAGCCTTGTAGGAGCCGTAATACAGACCGCGCAGCATGTGCAGATAGACCGCCAGGAAGAACATCGACGCGCCATTGGCGTGAATGTTCCGCAAGAGCCAGCCGAAGTTCACGTCACGGTCGATGCGTTCCACAGAGGCGAAGGCGTAATCGATGTGCGGCACATAGTGCATGGCCAGGACGATGCCGGTGATGATCTGGATCATCAGGCAGACGGTCAGGATGCCGCCGAAGGTATACCAGTAGTTCAGGTTGCGCGGGGTCGGGAAGTCCACGAAGGAGTCCCAGCCCAGGCGCACGATCGGCAGGCGCTGGTCAAGCCAACGCTCCACGCCGGTTTTCGGTTCGTAAGTGCTCGGTCCGCTCATTACTCGCTCTCCCCTAGCCCAGACGCAATGTCGTCGCCGCGATGAAGGTCATCGGCGGAATCGGCAGGTTTTCCGGGGCCGGGCCACGGCGGATGCGGCCTGCGGTGTCATAGTGCGAACCATGGCACGGGCAGAACCAGGCGTCGTAATCGCCAGCGCCTTCGGTCGGCACGCAACCCAGGTGCGTACAGTTCGCGCTGGTCACCAGCATGGCGCCGCGCAGGGCCTCGTCCACTTCCACGCCTTCGTCAACGCCTGCAGACAGGGTCGAACGGTTCGCGTCGGTCGCCGGGGCGCTGTCGTCGAGGTTGGCGTTGCGGGCCAGCGGGTCCGGCAGACGCGAGACTTCCACTTCAGCCGCCTCGGAGATTTCCTGGGCGGTCCGGCGACGCACAAAGTGCGGACGCTCGCGGAACATCACCGTGATCTCGGCGCCTTCTTCGAGCTCGCCGATGTTTATCTCGGTGGTGGACAACGCAAGCGTATCCGCCGCCGGGTTCATCTGATCGATGAACGGCCAAAGGGTGAGAGCGCCGCCGACGCCTACCGCCCCGACCGATGCGATGTAGAGAAAGTCCCGGCGCGACGGCTCTTCGCCGCCGGTCTCGGGATTGCTGTTCACGTCCGTCACGTGCCGACCTCTTGAATTCGAACTGCCCGCCCCGCAGGGCCTGGCAGACCCCACGCACGCTAGCGCGCGATCTCAGACTTAGCCTAACGCTGCGGCTTGTCGGTGCGACGTGCTGACGCAGGCCAACTAAGCATACAACGCGGATAGAGGGGCGGATTAATGCGACCCCCCTTATTTTTCAACCAGATTATCCCGTTTGATGCGCGTGAATCCGCTGCAAACGCAGATTTTCCCCAAGAAAAAACGCAAAAGACGCGTACGATTCAGAGACAGGCCTGGTCTCTACCGCTCGCTGACCGGCAAAATGGTCGCCTGTGCGACAGCAATGAGTTTTTCACCCTCGTCCTGCTCCGCAATGACATCCACGCGCACAGTGACCTGTCTTTTCCCGGCCTTGACCACATGCGCCTCGGCCCTGAACGCCGTACCGATTCCCGGAGCGAGAAAGTTCAGATTGAACTGCGAGGTGACCACGTCGCCCACCAGGGTGGCCGCCGCATAGGCCGCGGCGTTATCCGCCAGGAACCCGACCAGCCCGCCATGCAGAAAGCCATGGTGCTGGGTCATGTCTTCCTTGCGGAGCTCCAGCCGCGTCACAACCTCGCCAGCCTCCGCCTTCAGGATCTCCAGACCTGTCCAGCGGGTGAAGGGCTGGACCTTGATGATCTCCCTGAGAACCGCGGCATTGACCACCGGAGCGTCTGGAGCGTTCGGGGTGAGCGACATGAGCGCCTCCAAAATAGACCGACCGGTCTATATAGACTTCTCGAACGGCTTCCTACAAGCTCGCAGGCAAGGAGTTCTCGTTCATGCCGACATCTGAACACGCCCAGGCCCCGGCCTCATCGCGCAAGCGAGGCGAGTCGCGCTCGCGCCTGATCACGGCCGCGGCTCAGCTGTTTCAGGAACAGGGGTATGCCGCGACCGGTCTGTCAGAAATTCTGGACCGCGCGAAAATGCCCAAAGGCTCGCTCTACCATCATTTTCCGGGTGGCAAGGTGGAGCTGGGAGCGGCCGCGATGGAACGCGCAGGGCAAGTCCTGCAACAGACTCTCGCGGCCCGACTGGATAGCCGGGGGTCATCGGCCGAGGCCATCCGCGCCTTCTCCCAGGATCTGGCTGGATGGCTTGAAGGCTCTGATTTCACAAAGGGATGCCCGGTCGCCACAGTGGCTCTGGAGCAAGCCAATGGCGAGCCCGATCTGGTGGCGGCGATCCGCTCGGCCTTCGAGGGAGTCATTCAGGCGCTGTCGGACCAGCTGACGGCCGAAGGCCGGACGCCAGAGCGCGCCCATCGCCTCGCGACCTTCTGCCTTTCAACGCTGGAGGGTGCGCTTGTTCTGGCCCGCACGCAGCGGTCCAGCGAACCTGTCCGCATGGCCGGAGAAGAGCTTGCCGTGCTGATTTCGGACAGCGCGCGCGCCTAGATCAGCTCCGCGCGCGCCAGCGCCGCTTCGAGCGGTTCAAAGCGTTCCCCCGCTTCCTTGTGGACGCCCTCGGGGTCCTTGCCGAGCGTCTCCGACCGCAACCAGGCTTCCGCCGCCGCCGCATCGGCATCCACGTCGATGAACGCCGCCGCCTTCCGCGCCGCGCCCTGCGCGTCAGCCAGAAGCTCTTCATAACGCACCGTGAACACACGGCCGGGGAAGATCGCTTCCCAGTGTTCGCACAACCGGTTATGGCACGCCATCACCCGCGCGATATCGTCAGGATGGTAGGTCCAGTGGCGCGCCTTGCGGAACCGGGTCTTGTAGATCGACCAGGCCAGGTCACGCGGGTCGCGCACGATGCGGATCATCTTGGCCGCGGGCAGGCAGACGCCATACGCCCCGGCGGCCATTTCAGACAGCGAACTGGGATCGATGATGCGCGAAGCGGTGCGATCGAGCGCCTCTTCAGCCTGGCTCAGATAGCGCTTGCCCACCTCGCCCAGCACATTGCGGCCCCAGCCCGCCTCGATGGCCTCGGAAATCTCGGCGAGGGTCTGATCGCCCAGCGGGGTCGCATTGAGCCAGAACAACCCGTTCTTGCGCTGGAGCGCGCCGGCGTCATCATCAGCCGCCAGCACGTCAGCCAACCAGTCCGCTCCGGCGCAAGGCGGCGCCATGATCAGGACGGGGCGACCGTCGATGACGCCTGCATCCTCATGCTTTTCAACAAATTGAGGTTCATAGCTGGTAATCAGCGCCTTGACGGACTGCTCATGACGTTCCGTGTCAAATCCGGTGTCGTCCCGGCAAAAGGCCGCGCCTTCAGCCACCCGCATGGCCGCAACCGCGTCTTCGCCCACATCGCGATACGCCTTGGCCAGGGTATAGGCCAGAGCGCCGCGTTCGGTGGAGGACATGTTGGCGGTGTTCTGAAGCCGCATCTCTTCAAGCGCGGCAAGCTCGCCCGAGCCCGATTCAAACGTGATGCATTCTGCAAGGCCTTCCCACGCCAGGACGTCGAACCGGTCCAGGCTGATCGCGCGCCGGAAGCTCAGCGCCGCCAGATTGGTTTTGCCCAGCTCCAGCAACGCCCGACCCGCCCGGCGTTGCAGCGCCGGATCATTGGGTTGCTGGGCGATCAGCTTCTCGATGACCTCAAGCGCCTGCTGATGACGGCCCAGCCCGGACAGGGCCGAGGCCAGCCAGAGCCAGGACTGGGGGTAATTCGGCGAGGCGCGGGTCAACAGCTCGGCGGCCTTCAGCGCCGCTACCTCGTCCCCCACTTCCATCGCCAGTCCGGCGACATCGCCCCACTGGCTGCCCAGCTGGGCTTCTGCCTCGATCAGGCGGCGCGCCTCGACGGACACGCCCAGAAGGTCTTCACGACGACGCGCTTCATGCAGGTCGGACAAGGGATCAATCATGGCAATCGGAATTCCACATTCAGGCCGGCTCTCTGGCGGCGGAGCCTAAAGCCCGGCTTGCGGCTGCGCCAGCGCTTCAGGCGCCGTTTTGGCTTGCCAGCGGCGGTTCAGATGTATCTTTTCGCACGGCCCTGAAACCTGAGGAGCGAGCATGTCCGCAAACGCCAAACCCAGCGAAGACGTCCTGGCGGATCGCCGCGAACGCGCGAAAGCCTGGTTTGAATCGCTGCGCGACCGCATTTGCAGCGCGTTCGAGGCGCTCGAAGCCGCCGCAGACCCGACGCTGTATCCCGGCGAGGCCGGACGCTTCGAACTGACGCCCTGGGTGCGCGGCGACGGCGCGCAGGAGCTGGGCGGCGGCGTGATGGGCATGATGCATGGCCGCCTGTTTGAGAAGGTGGGTGTCCACGTCTCCACGGTCTTTGGGGAGTTCAGCCCCGAATTCGCCGCCCGGGTCCGCGGGGCCGGGACCGATCCGCGCTTTTTCGCCACCGGCATCTCGCTGATCGCCCACATGCGCAATCCGCATGTGCCGGCGGTGCACATGAACACCCGCTTCATCACCACGACGCTGAGCTGGTTCGGCGGCGGCATGGACCTGAACCCGACCCAGGATTACCAGCGCGACAAGAGCTTCCCCGATTCCAAGGCCTTCCACGCAGCCGCGAAATCCGCCTGCGACGCCCACGACCCGAGCTATTACCAGCGCTTCACCGACTGGTGCGACGAGTATTTCTGGCTCAAGCACCGCAACGAGCCCCGCGGCACGGGCGGGATTTTCTATGACCATCTCGACAGCGGCGATCATGAGGCGGATTTCGCCTTCACCCGCGATGTGGGCGAAGCCTTCCTCAGCGCCTATCCCGAGATCGTGAAGACCCGCATGTACCAGAGCTGGACCGAGGATGATCGCGAGGAACAGCTGGTGCGTCGCGGCCGCTATGCCGAGTTCAATCTCCTTTATGATCGCGGCACCAAGTTCGGCCTCGAAACCGGCGGCAATATCAACTCGATCCTGTCCTCCATGCCGCCGCATGCGCGCTGGCCGTAAGCGAAGTCTTAATCTGCGTTAACGACCGGTTAGCAGACTCACCGCATCGCTTGCTGGAATCGGCTTTCCGCCTTCAGGGAGCGAGACATGGTCAATACCGTCGGAACCCAGGGTCCGTATCTGGGCCCCAATGGCGCAACAGCGGCAACGCAGAGCGAAACGACGAAACCGCGCTCGGGCGGGTCAAACCCGGATGCCGCTCCCAAGACTGCCAGCGACACTGTGAGCCTCTCGGCCGCAGCGCGCGCCGTGCTCAACGGATCTTCCGCCCGCGTGGACGCCCTGATGGCGGACCGCGGCGACGCCATCTTCCGCAACGCCCTGTCCGGCGCCCGCGCCTATCAGGACAATTACGCCTCGGTGCTGGAAAAGCCCGGCCTGGACGCCGACACGGCCCGCGAAACCCGGATGAAGATGCTGGCGCGGGAACGCGAGGCCTTCACCGCCCCCGAACATACGGGCGACGTGCTGACCCGGGCGCGCGCCTATATCGAGTTCTATGATTCCCTGTCCGAGGAAGAGCAGAACTCCGAGCGCTATCGCGGCACCCGCGAGACCATGGCGGCGATCGTCGAGCAGGAATCGGTCAACGCCGGCGTCGAGGCGCCCGATCTGAGCCTGTCGCAAAGCCCGTTCGATACCCTGCTGAACGCCCTGTCTGACGGCGAGGGCGGCATCGCCCAGCGCGACCGGCAGGAGGTGGTGGATGAATTCCGCGCCCGTCTTGAATCCCAGGTGGGATCTGAAGCGCGCCAGCGTGAGGGGCGCGAGCTGGAGAACCGCTACGGCGCGCTGCAGGACCTGATCGAACGGGCGCGTCGCGGGGATGAAACCGCCTATGCCAGGCTCGAAGCCCTGTCCGAGGACGCCGCCTCGATCGCGCCGGTCAGCGAGAGCGGCACGGACGAATAGGCCGGATCAGAGGACGCCCGGCGTCCATCCGGCCGCCAGAAGGCCCAGCACAAAGCCCAGCCCGATCAGCGCGGCGCCCGCCCCACCCATGAGAATCCAGTTCGTCGCAAGCTGCCAGAAGGCGGATTCGGCCCGACGCGGGAAGTCGCCCACCGGATCAAACTCGCGATGCAGGGGCTGCGTGGCGCGCAGCTCGGCCATGTCGGCTGAAGACCCCGCCGAGCCTGTGGCGAACTGGCACAAACGGGCGAGCACATCGACGGCGAGACGTGCGCTGGCCTCGTCATCCATGTTCAGCATCAGGCTGCCTTCGCCATGGTTGAGCAGCTTGCCGCCCTTGTTGGGCGCCTTGCGCACTCCGGTTATCTTGGAATAGCTGCGGATCTCCTCCGCTTCCGCTTCCTCGATATCGTCAGGGCTGTCGGTTTCAGGCAGACCGAACAGGACCAGACGCAGCAGCATTTCGGCCAGGCTGGCGCGGTCCAGCGCGTTGACCCGCTGGTTCTTGAGGTTTTCCGGCCCGCCATGGGCGAGCCATTTGCCGATCATCTCGATCCGGATCGCCGCCGCGAGACCGTTCGATACGCCCTTGAGCGCCGACTTGTCCGTCGCCGGGCCGCCCAGACGCGGCAGGCCACGCGCCGGTTTGCGGTCCTTGGGCGGCTTGGCCTTGACGAACGGACCTTCGAGCTTGCCCTTGAAATGGGTCAGGCATTCATCGAGCGCATGACGCGCCGCGCGCACCGCCGCCCCGTGGCGCACCTTCTTGGACAGAAGGTCAGAATCCAGCAGCCGGTCGGCCTCCCACAGGCTGCGGGCGGCTTCGGAGAGCGATTGCGAGACCTTCTGGGGGTCAAGCGTTTCACCCGCTTCAACCCCTTCGCCATTGCGAATCCTGTTGTCCTGCGCGGTCAGCGCCTGATCGGCCTGACTCTTGAGCGAATAGAGGATCTGATCAAACTGGCTGTCGCGCTCACGCGGCCAGTCATCCCGCCGCCAGCGCCCGAGCTGGAAATACCAGCGCGATTCCCCGCGCTGCAGGCGCTGATTGAGGTCGCGGCTGAATTCCAGCTGCTCCTCGCCGGGCAGCAGGTCAAAGAACGCCTCGACGAAATCGAAGACGAGGAGGTTGGCCGTGATGCCCCATTTCTCCCCGTTCAGCGGATCGCGATGGGAAATCTCGCCTTCGGTCTGGAACAGGTTCTCGAAACCCGGCGCTTCGGCCGCAGCCGACCAGTGCGCCCGGTTCGCCTGCAGATAGGCGTCCGCCATGGTCTGGCGCGCCCGGCGGGGCAAGTCCTTGATCTTGCGCTTCTCATTGGCGGCGCTGATGGTCTTGGCGAGCTGGATGCGCAGGGCGATCTCGGCATCCACAAAGGCGTTGGTGGTCTCCGCTTCAGTGAAGTTGAGCGCCTTGGCCTTCTCTTCCAGCGCCCGGCGATCATGCAGATGCAGATCCGCGGCGAACAATTCGCCGCTGCCCACCCGTGCGCGATAGCGCAGGGAGAAAAGCTCTGACAGGCTCACCCTTTCGCCTCCGCCGCACGCGCCAGAAGCGTCTCGCGGTCGAGGTTGAAGTCACTGTCGATCCAGCGCGCTTCAAGCTGTTTCATCACCGCGCCCAGCTGGGGACCGGGCTCGAAACCCAGCGCGATCAGATCGCGCCCCGTCACCGGCAAGTCCGGCTTGCGCCAGTGCGCCGCCGCGTCCAGATCAGCGTCGGCCTCGCCCTCGCCGCGCGCTTCGGCGAGTCGCATCCGGTCAGCAAAGGTCTGCGCGCCAAGCGTATAAAGCGCCCGACGACGCGCCCGGGCCTCTGCTCCCGGCCGCACCGAATCTGCGCCATCAGCCGCAGGGGCGCACATCGCGATCAGGCGATCTGTCTCTGCGTTGGACGCCTTCATCTGATGGCCCAGGCTGCGCACTGTGGTCACATCTCCCCCGCACAACGCCGCCGCCCTGATGAGCGTGTCAGGCGCGCGCCCTTTCCCTCTGTCGGCGTTAATTATGCTTAAGAGAAGGTTTAAGTCGAGCCGTTCCGGCCAAACCGGTTCAAAAACGTGGCCTTCCTGCATCGCTTTGACCACAGGTCCGGGGTCGGGGGCGGCCAGAAGCGTCTTGAGCTCTTTCCACACCCGCTCCCGCGCCAGCGCTTTCAACCCGGGCGCGGCGCGCACGCAGGCGGCATGGCCTTCCGGGTCCAGCGCCGAGCCATACCAGGCGTTGAAGCGATAAAACCGCAATATGCGCAAGACGTCCTCGGCCAGGCGCTCATCCGCCTCGCCAATGAAGATCACCCGATGGGCCAGCGCGTCCGCAACACCGTCATACGGATCGAACAGGCTGCCATCCCGGCGCGCATAAATGGCGTTGAGGCGAAAATCGCGGCGGCTGGCGTCGATGGCCCAGTCGGTCGTAAAGGCGACCACGGCGCGCCGGCCATCGGTGGAGACATCCTTGCGCAGCGTCGTGATCTCGAACGGCTTGCCCTTGATGACCGCGGTGATGGTGCCGTGATCGAGCCCGGTGGGAATCGCCTTGATCCCGGCGGCTTTCAGCGCGTCCAGGGTTTCTTGCGGGGTCAGCTGCGTGGCGATGTCCACATCCTCGACCGGCGCGCCCTGAAGCGCATTGCGCACCGCGCCACCCACGATGCGCGCTCGATCCGTCTCGCCCGGGCTGATCGCGTCCAGCACCGCACGCGTGTCAGGCGCGCTCAGAAAAGCGTGCTCGGAAGGGTCCAGCCGCATGCCCGACCTCGCTAGATCGGCTCTTCGGGAGAAGGTGGATCGCGATCCTCGAACTGTCCGGGCCGGATCTCGCCATCCTCCAGCCGGGGCGGCTGATACGCGCCGTCGCGGGAGCTGGAATCAGTCTCAACCAGCACGATGACAAGGAGCATGACCATCGCCGCGCCCAGACCCAGCACAATGCCGAGAATGGCGGAGACAGGCTGCTTGATCACGCCCACGGCCGACAGGATGCGCGCCGCGACATAAGGCAGCGCGAAGGCGGCGAGCATCAGAAGAAAGATGCGGGTCATCAACGGCTCTCCCGTGCGGAGCGGGCCATTTCACGTGGCCGCCCCTGTGCATAGCGGATCGACAGGGCGCGCAGCATGCCCGCTGTCGCCCCCCAGATATACCGCCCTTTATGGGGCATGGCGTAATAACGCCGCAACATCCCTGCGAATTCACGGGCTTCGAGTTTGTGATTGTCCGGATCCATCAGAAAGTCGAACGGCGTCTCGAACACTTCGGCGACTTCACCGGGGTCCGGGTTCAGTTCAAATCCGGGCTCGATGACGCCAACGAACGGCGTCACTGCGTAACCGGTCACCGTCTCATAGCTTTCCCAGCGCCCCAGCAGGGTGATGGCCTCGGGCGAGAGACCCACCTCTTCCTCGGTCTCGCGCAGAGCGCATTCAGCAAGGGTTTCTCGGCCCGCCATCTGGCGCCCGCCCGGAAAACTGACCTGCCCGGCATGGGCCTGCAAATGGTCCGCGCGCCGGGTGAACAGGACTGTCAGACCGCTGTCGCGCTTGACCAGCAGCGCCAGCACCGCAGCAGGCTTGAGTTTGCGCCCCACCGGACGCGTCACATCATCCAGATCCCCGTCGCCATGGAGGGGACGCGCGGGCGCCGCCCCCTCCACCGGATCGAGCACGCTGCGCAAGCGCGCGAGAACCGCTTCGACATCCGCAGTCATGCAACAGGTCCCAGCGGAAAGAAGACGCCGCGGCTCCACACGCCCATGCAGGGCTGGCCATGCTC